CACTGCCTTAATATTTCTTCTGAAATTAGAAAGAAGCCTATACATTAAATATTTAGAATTCTAGTTATACACATAAAACTCAGCTGCTGCATCAGCCTAAGGTTTATGTGCATGAGTTGTTTTTTATCTTGCTATATTGGTAGAAACCAGAACAAAACATTTAAGAAAAGACAGAAATCTGTTGCAGCTCTTGTGTGACTAGTTGATGCCCACCAGATAGTGTCATTAATAAAACAACAGAGATAACACATCTGAAATTCATTGCTCCTGGGGGGATTGTTCTGTGATATATATATATATATATATATCACACCCTCACCCATATATATGTGAAAAGAGAGAGTGTGTCAAAATGGAGAAGTTTAAAAATTTTCCTTGTTTGAATTAAATCCCCTGAACATCTGTCTCTTAATGAGTATGCCATCAATCATTATGCTAAATCTTCCTTTTTTGATTACCATAAATAAATTTGGAAATTTATCATTAGATTCATTTGAGAACATGTTTTGAAAAGAAGAGTGAGAATTCCTTCAATAATAAACACACGCCTGGGAATTAAAAATAATCATAATGTAGTGTGATCGTTTGATCCATAATTCAGTGCTTGATGTGAATGAAATCTGATACAGTTTAGAATGGTCCTCAGGAGATAAGAATTAAAATTGGAGAAAATAATATATTAGGAAATTTCAGTGCTGAAAATTACTCTTGCTTTCATCATAGAAACTTACATTTGATATGGTGACAGAGATGTAGAGTTGGAGATAAAGAGGAGTCGCTCTTATATAGCAATATCATAAGGCTCATGACCATAGCTGTGCCCTTCCCCAGTAGCAGCATCCTGTGATAATGAGCTTTGTCTAAAATGCAAGGGGTTTCAAGACTGATACAGCTATTAAAGTTATCCTGAAATGGATTTATAAATTACAGCTCTGTCCATATTGCATAGCCATAAATAAAATATTGAGTAATAATAATATTCTGAAAATAATTCTTTTATACCCCCTCATTCTTCCTGCCTCCCTCCACCTTTGTGCTAGTAATCTTTGGCAGTCCATCTGTCCAGAAACACAGCAGAATTTGCTGAAAAGGGAATACAAAGACAGATAATAGTGATATGGTCTGGCTCTGTGTCCCCACCCAAATCTCATCTTGAATTGTAATCCGAATTCTAATCCCCATGTGTTGGGGAGGGATCTCTGGGGAGGTGATTAGATCATGGAGGCAGTCCCACTACGCTGTTCTCATGATAGTGAGTTCTCATGAGATCTGATGGCTTTATCAGAAACTTTCCCCCACCTTCCCTCTGGACTTCGCCTTCCTGTTGCCATGTGAAGGAGATGTTTGCTTCTTCTTCTGCCATGATTGTAAGTTTCCTGAAGCCTTCCCAGTCGTGTTTCAGTGTGAATCAATTAAAACTTTTTCCTTAACAAATTACCCAGTCTGGGTACGAGTAACACTCTCCTTTCCAGAATTTCTCCCTGTCAATATTCGTAAGCCAAGGAAGCATGAGAATTGACCAATACAGTCAGATTCTGCCTTGCCAAATGAGACAGTTGATAATAGTCAGTCAACTGTCCTAAGATAGGATTTCCCAATGTCCTTTATCTCCTTTTTCTCTTAGTAGCTCAGGTGTTAAACTTGCAGAATTCTTTTGTAGAATGAAGGAGTTTCACCTTCTGTTTTTGACAATGAAGCCACAGAATGAATGCTAAAGACAGAATGGAGAGGAGAAGAGGTACAGGACATAAACAAATTATTTCCTGGCCTGGTAATTTTGTTAGAGATCACAGAGAAAGCAAGAAACATTTCCTTTCTCCGGGCTAGTTAGAGAGTACCAGTGATGTTGAGTGAAGGGGACAGGAAGGGATAAAGGGCAAGGAGAAGGTACTATCTTCTGCCCCATTTGTGATTCTGTGGTCACCTCTCTGGTTGCAACTTTACCATTTTCTAGGCCAGGCCACACCAATGAGACTGCTCAGTGCTCAGGAAGAAGTCTGTGAATTTCAGGATTTCACTGTGGCATGAAAACAAGTTGAGCCAGATATCTGTTATAGCAGCAGAAGCAGAAGTCAAACCAATGGACCTATGGGCTGAAAGAAGGGTCAGTAGGAGTGGGAATTGAGGTCAGGTCTAGCTCGCCTCTCTTCTGCCATGACAGATCTGAGTTCCACTACACACAAGCTTTGGTTATGAGTGCTAGAACAGTCATCCACTTTCAGGAAGACAAGAGCTGTCATCCTAAAAATCAGGGAACCCTGATTCTTTCCTTCTGCCATGAGGTTAACTCACTGCTCTCTGTATACATCTTGGCATACTGCTATCCCACATTCATGAGAGACTCTGCTCATTATTTTTTCAGTCATGCTTTTCTTTGTGCTTTAGTATGTATAATTTATTTTGACTATCTTCAAGTTTACTAATGTTTTATTGTATCCAATCCACTATGAATCTTAGCCAATAATGTCTTTTTATGTTGGATATGTATTTTTTTCACTTTTAAATTTCTTATTTGTTCATTTTTTAACAGTTTCTGCATATATTCTGAAATTTCCTAATATCATTATATTCAACTTTGCCTTTAGATTCTTTTACATATTTGTTGGGTTTCCAGTGTTGTGAGTCAATTAAATTTAAAATTTTTAAAATGTTTTCAGTTTTAAACTTCTTATTTGTTCATTTTCTAAGTTTCCACATAGAGCCTGAAATTTCCTAATCTCATTATATTCAATTTTCCTTCAGATTCTTTTACATATTTATTAGGTTTACAGTGTGAGTCTATTAATACTAAGGTCTGGTTTGTTTTAGTCTCTTAACTATTCTTTCTCTCTTGATTATGGGTCATATTTTTCTCTAAGTGTTCATATGTCTAGTCATTTTTAATTCCATATTGGATAATGTATTGATACAATAGAGACTCTGTTTTTAATGATCTTCCTCTGAACAGTGTAATTGTTTTTTCTATCAGGCAGCTAAATTGTTAAATCACTTAGTCTTGGATTGTAGTCTTTAATCCTAAAGTGTGGTTCGTCTGGGATTTTAATAGAAATCCTGATGTATATAGTAATCCAGTCAAACTTGCTAAAACTCTAATTCCCATAGTTTACTCTCCTATAGTGTGTATCCACTAAGGCCATTGTTTAACTGCTGCCTTCCTGGAAGCTCCTTGGAGTCTCACCCTACATGTTGGCAGTTTAGTTTGAATTGGGGTTATACATAGATTTTTGGGGTTTTCCTTTCTGTAACACCCTCCTTTCCAGATTTTCTCCCTCTTAATATCCAGCCACTTGGGCAACCCCCAATCTCTCATCTGATTTTTCCAGATGATAATTTTTTTTTAAGTTCTATCTATCCTGAGCAGTATGTCTCAAGGGAAAGTCACGTAAATATATATTTCCACCATTGGGGTTTCCTTCTTTCGAAGACTGATTCCCTTTTAGTTTATGACAATTTTGTCACTGTTTAGTGACTTCAAATAGTAGGGTTTTTTTCTACTTACCTTTCTAATTGTTATTAGCAGAAGGGCTGAAAGTCAGAATTCCTAAAGTGGGAATGAGGTTCAGTATATAGACCAAGGAAAAATGGTAGGTGATATGGTTCAAAATACAAACAAAAGCTTAATCATGTATGGCTTCTTAAGCCTTGGCAAAGAGGTTGATGTTTATTCTAAGTATTATACAGGCATTACCACAAAATTTTAAGCAAAGGAGTGTGTCAATCTTATTTATGAATACAGTGGGAATTTTACATGAAAATATGATATTATTGATAGTTCTACATGGAAGTGGTAAATAACAGTACTAACTAGTGCTTTTTAATCATAAAGTATATGTCAGGGAGTAAGAGGTGAGATAACACAAAACTATAGTGGGAGATGATACTGATGATTTACACAGGCAGTGTTACTCACCACCCAACTTTTTAGGAAATAAAAGAGAAATAGTTATGGCTTTAAAAATTAGGATTGGAGGCCTGGCATGGTGTTATGCCTGTAATCCCAGCACTTTAAGAGGCTGAGGCAGGTGGATCAGAAGGTCAGGAGTTGGAGACCAGCCTGGCCAATATGGTGAAACCCTGTATCTACTAAAAATACAAAAGATTTATCCAGATATGGTAGCGCATGCCTCTCAGCTACTCAGGAGGCTGAGGCAGGAGAATTGCTTGAACCCAGGAGGCAGAGGTTGTAATGGGCCGAGATCGTGCCACTGCACTTCAGGCTGGGCAACAGAATGAGACTATGTCTCAAAAAAAAATTGAGATTGTTTTGGCAACTGGGGTTGAGTCGTTTATGCACTCATTTATTGAATACTGTCTAGCTACCATTCTAGATACTAAGGATACAATAGTGAATAAATACATTCTCTGGAGAAGTGTAAGACAAATCTATGTGGTTTTTGCATTTTATCTTTGACAGCTCCATATATAGTCAGAGACTTACCTTCCCAATGAGATCTGGTAGTTGAATATTTCTTTAGCTTCTTTTGCTAGAGATCAAATTTGAAGCCCATGTTACAAAAAAAAAAAAAAAACAAAAAAACACCACATAATAAAAAAAACTCTTCATATTATGGATACAACATGACAATAACAATTCCCTTTATTGTGAGTTCAAATGGTAAATTAATTACCATTTTTATATAACCAAAGATTATTTCTGACAGGAGAACATGGACTATTTTACATTTCTCTTGGCAAAATGATGAGCTAGGGTTGTAGTTTATCTGTTAATGTTTTAGTCTCACTAAGGAGGCTATAAAAATGATTTAAATTAGGAAGAAATTCTGCTGTGAGTTCCAAAAGGAAAATCATGAGCCTCCTAAGGAAAACCTCTGAGTTTGTGTGTGTGGTTGTGTGTGTGTGTGTGTGTATGTGTGTGCAAGTGTGGCCAGCTCAAAAGCATTAAGCCAAATAATAAAACTAAAAGAAATATTTACAGATCCATTGCATGCAACTCTGTTTTCTCAATTTGTCAGGGAATCATACTTAACTTTCTTATTTCAGGTCTTTTGGCTCAATTCTGAATAAACAGTGCACATCCATGTGGGAGCAATGAGGAGGAACTGTAGCATCTGGTATGCCTTTAAAAATAACTTCCTACTTATGTAACTGAGATTTCACCAAAGATCAATGAGCTTTTTCAGGTCTGAGACCTAAGGTTGGATGGCATGAAATAGTTCCTTTGGAAGCTGTTGATTCATGTAGCACTGTTATTTTGAAAGAAAAACATTCCCGTCCAAGAAGCAGATGTTAACAGACCATAGCCCTAGAGTCATAACTCTAGGTTATTGAGATCTAGGTTTTGTTCTCAGCTTCATTTACAATCATTTAAGAGCCTTTTACTTTGCTTCTTTATTGATCTCATACCACACATTCCTTCTCATCTGTACAAAATGTCAGCTTAAGTGGAGTGGGCAGATCTGCATTCACGGTCAAGTTAGCTGCTTCCTTACAACACAAAATGGTGCCTATTGGCTCATTCTTTCCAGAGGACAATGTTATTCACGATGTTGTATGCTTCAGAGACAAAAACCACTTTACTGCATTAGCAGGTAAGCCCTGTGATGCCTTTGAAATGTGATATTGTAGAGCTGTCTTTAGATTCTCAGCTCTGGGAAGTCGTAGAACATGGTGAATTGGGAACTTATTTGTGGTCCATCTGAAAAAATATTCATCTGGGTTCTCTTTTAAACTTCCTTTATAGGGTGTTTTTCTTCAACAACAAATGTATCTGCCAATGGGAAGTACTTTCTGAAGAATTTTGAACTTTGACATCTTATAATAAATGTCCCACCATCTCTGGTAAGTAGGAGCTTACTAAATGTAATACGTGCTAATCATAGGTCCAACGTAATACTTTTGGGGGGATGAATAGCATTAACAAGTGAGTTTCCATACTAAGACATTGAGAAACTGTAAGACATTTCTATAACTTATACACTTTTCCTGAGTTCCCCTTTCATATTCTTTATTTTCAATAGCATATGAAGTTGCTACTCCTGTAAAATGAGCCTGAGGTTCAGGTGACACTGACATATTGGAAGTGATATATATATTTTAAAAGGAAAGTTTATGCAGGTCTACCTGCACATACTATCAAAAAAATAGAAAAATATAAATAAAAAGAGGAAGACCACATGTCTTGAAGGCTCTAGTGAAGCATGTATTTATGTTTTGTCATCCTGTCATCTGATCATTAGTCCGTTGATTTAGCTGTTGTTGTTTTTTAATAATTCTTGTCTCTATTGAACACTAGGAAAATAATCTGTGCATCCTAATTGGCTATCTTTGTCTTATTTCTGTGAATTATGCAAATTTTAGGCATTCCTATACCCCAAATAATCAAACCATTGGACTAATAAAAACAGACTGCACGTGCTTAGACCATAGACTCTACCTTCATGTTCTACAAGAGACATTGTTGCTTTTCTAAATCAGGTTGAATCTACCATAATTTTTTTTCATGGAAAAGAAAATAAACCCTGAAAGATTTTAAAGAAGCTTATACAGTATAGAAAAGAATGGAGCAAACACCCAAGAAAAGAAATTTGATGAAAGACTGAGTGGGGTAAATTTGGAAAACTTTTATCTTTAAAAGAGTTAAATTTATATATATATGTATATATATATATATATATATTATACATACCCATATATACTATATCTGTATATACATATGTGTGTATATATACCATATATAAATATATACACACATATATATTATACATATATACATGACAAAATTTATATATAATGTATGTATATTATATACATTATCCATATATAGGTGTGTGTGTGCACGCGTGTGTGTGTGTGTGTGTGTATGACTACATCCATTTCCTTGGCTTCTATATCAGAGATAATTTTTGTTTTGTTTTTTTTTTTGTGCTCTGAGCCTGCAAAGCTTTCTTAGCTGTCATAGAATCTTTGGGGGTGCTACTGGGCACTTGAAAGAAATATTCCCTTATGCAAAGAAATGATCTGTGAGGGTAGGCTAGACTAAGCAGCAAACCCTGGTAGTGTTTGACCCATCTCATCAAGAACCTTAGCAACATTTGTATGATTGGGAAGGAGAAGAAGGGAATGTGAACTAATTGTATTATCAGCTTCTCTAGCCCATCTGCTCCTGTGCTAAAAAGATACTAGATGGGTAGCCACAGGAGTAATACTGAAGAGAACTACTTTACAGTAGTCTTTCCCAAACTTAGCAAACTTTGTGGACTTCCAAAAAGGCATAAGAAGATAAAAGGCTGAGTGATTTGCTCTTCTCACCAATATGAATGATTAAATTGCTGAACTGGGGAACAAACTTACCTTACGTAGGCCCTATATATGAAGGAGAGGAAGGAAGGCATTTGGCTGTGATGTTTTAATAAGAATAGTTAAAACACCTGAAATGTATCCCATTTTTCTGGATCCTTTTCAGATAAGCAAATGCTGACGGAATTCATTACCACCAGACCAGCCTTACAAGAACTCCTGAAGGGTGCCCTAAACATGGAAAGAAAAGACCATTAACAGCTACTACAAAAGCACACTTAAGTACACAAACCAGTGATACTATAAAGCAACTACATAAACAAGTCTGCAAAATAACCAGCTATCATGTTGACTGGATGTCAATACTAAGCTTAAATGTCTTAATTAAAAGATGCATAATGGCAAGCTGGATTAAAAAAAAAACAAGACCCATTGCTATGCTGTCGTCAAGAGATCCACCTCACATGCAAAGACACATATAGACTCAAAATAAAGAGATGGAGGAAAATCTACCAAGAGAATGGAAAACAGAAAAAAGCAAGGGTTGTAAAACCAGTTTCTGACAAAACAGACTTTAAACCAAGATTTAAAAAAGACAAAGAAGAGCATCACACAATTGTAAAGTGGTCAATTCAACAGGAAGACCAATCTATCCTAAATACATATACACCCAACAAAGGAGCACTCAGATTCATAAAGCAAGTTCTTAGAGATTTCAAAGAGACTTAGACTCCTGCACAATAATAGTGAGAGACTTTAACACCCCACTGACAGATCAGCAAGACAGAAAATTTACAAAGATATTCAGGACCTGAACTCAGCTCTGGATAAAATGGACCTGATAAACATCTACAAAACTCTCCACCCCAAAGCAACAGAATACACTTCTGAATTAGTACAGTCTTTTGCTGCACTAAAGAACTACCTGAGACTCAGTAATTTACAAAGGAAAGAGGTTTAATTTATTCACAGTTCTACAGGGCTGGGGGGGCCTCAGAAAACTTACAATCATGGCAGAAGGGGAAGCAAACAGATCATTCTTCACATGGTAGTGGGAAGAAGAGTGAATGAAGTGGGGAAGCTCCTTATAAAACCATCAGATGTTGTGAGAACTCAGTCACAGGCACAAGAACAGCATGAGGATAATCACCCCATGATTCAATTACCTCCCACCAGTTCCCTCCCATGACACATGAGGATTATGGGAACTAAAATTCAAGATGAGATTTGTGTGGGGACACAGCCAAAGCATATCAATAGCTCATTGCCACATGGCACTTATTCTAAAATTGGTCACATAATCAGAAGTAAAAGACTCCTCAGCAAATGTAAAATAACTGAAGTAATAATAAACCTTCTCTCAGACCACAGTACAATCAAATTAGAACTCAAGACTAAGACATTTACTCAAAACCATACAATTACATGGAAATCTAATCCTGCACATGAATGACTTTTGGGTAAATGATAAAATTAAGGCAGAAGTCTCTTTGAAACTACTGAGAACAAAGGTACAACATACCAGAATCTCTGGAACATAGCTAAGGCAATGTTAAGAGGGAAATTTACAGCACTAAAGCCCACATCCAAAAGTGAGAAAGACCTCAAGTTAGCAACATAATGTTGCAACTAAACTAACTAGAGAACCAAGAACAATCAAGGTTAAAAGCTAGCAGAAGATAAGAAATACCTCAAATCAGAGCTGAACTCAGGGAGATTCAGACAGAAAAACCATTCAAAAGATCAATGACTCCAGGACCTGGTTATTTGAAAAAAATTGGTAAAACAGATAGACTGTTAGATAGATGAATAAAGAAGAAAAGAGAGAAGATTCAAATAAACACAATCAGAAACAACAGTGGGATACCACCACTGGCCCCACAGAAATACAAATAAGAGTCAAGAATATTACAGACACCTCTATGCAAATCAACTGTAGAAATGGATAGATTCCTGACACATACACCCTTCCAAAACCAAACCAGGGAAAAATTTAATCCCTGAACAGGCCAATAACAAGTTCTGAAATTGAGGCAGTAATAAAGAGCCTACCAATAAAAAAAGGATCAGACAGATTTACAGCTGAATTCTAGAAGATGTACAAAGAAGAGCTGGTACTATTTCTACAGACACTATTCCAAAAATTTGAGGAGGAAGGATTCCTCCCCAACTCATTCTATAAGGCCAGTATCATCCTGATATTAAAACCTGGCAGAGATACAACAAAAAGAGGAAATTTCAAGCCAAAACCCTTGATGAACATTGACGCAAAAATCCTCAACAACGTACTGGCAAATCAAATCCAGCAGCACATCAAAAACCTTATTCATCACAACCGAGTAGGCTTCATCCCCAGGATACAAGATTAGTTCAACATCCACAAATAATAAATGTGATTCATCAATAAATGTAATTCATCACATAAACAGAACTAAAGACAAAAACCATATGGTTATCTCTATAGGTGCAAAAAAGGCTGTTCATAAAATTCAGCATCGCTTCATGTTAAAAACTCTCAATAAACTAGGTATTGGAGGAACATATCTCAAACTAATAAAAACAATATATAACAAACCCACAGCTAACGTCATAGTGAATGTGCAAAAGCTGGAAGCATTCCCCTTGAAAACCAGCAGAAGACAAGTATTGGAAGTTCTGGCCAGGGATATCAGGTAAGAGAAAGAAATAAAGGGTATTGTTTTAAAATTGGAATAATTGCCTTTACCTCTTTTTACCAAAATGTTGAAGCCGAAGTATTTTTAGCATCTCAGGAAAGTTAATCTTATAAAAAGTCAAACTAAATCTCCTAGAAGTGATCTATCCACATGCATATCAGTTCAATCTCAGAAAGGAATGTCCCAATGGATTCTCGATACCCAAATCCTCTGCTAGAGTAAAATCCCTGTGACAGGAACAGTCCAAAAAATAAACTGGGAGTCAGCCCATCACAGGGTTACTTGAACATGGTGAGAAACTCCATACATCCTCCTGATACTCTGAATGGCCTGTTGGGTGAGATTCTGTCTCCAAATTCCCCTTTCTTCCCACATTGAGAGTTCTAGCCTTACAGATGAGAATATGTTAGATTCCTTATGGTTGCTGCAGAAGGGAAATATTAACTAAATACTGGATTTGAGCCTGATGTGGTAAGATTATGTTCATAGATCCCATTTGCTGAAAGTTTTTTTGTCAAGTCAGACTCTCTCTTTCCCTAAGGCCATTAGGCCAAGTATTTTGCTCTTGTGAGCAACTTGGGGAGATAGTTAAAAGGTTGAGCATGAATGGCTACTTCTGGCTAGAAAGAAGGTGTCTATATGCCTTATAAATTGTGGGTAAGCCAGATCATCTTGCCATATATAAAAAACACATGAGTCATCAAGAGCTTATCAAGGGGGACACAATTAGCCCTTCTGTAAAAATTCTTCAGGATACTGAGAGGAAGGACATGTCAACTAGAGCTTAAGTATGTTTGCCTAAAATCAATGATTAAAATTCCTTCTCCAAATTTGGCCTTTTGGTGCTAAATCAAGATTTGAAATTTAGGTACTAACAAGCTAATATTCAGCTTCTTAATATCCAGAAAATAGTCATTTAAATTAAGTGCATTATCATTAAAATGATTAAAATTCTGCCTTTTGTAAGGTAATAAATTTTCAAAACATCACATTGAGCCTCTTTTTAAAGATTCAAAATAAAGAAGTTAAATTTAAATAAATATCAAGAATTAATAAAAAAGGTAGAGTAATACTGAAAACTGAAATGATTTGCATTTAAAACACAGTTCTGCTCAGTTCAACAAACATTTCTTGAATGCATATTATATCCTAGGTACTAACAGTAAAATGATGAATAAAACATTATTCTTATCACTTAATCTCAGTTAAGGGATGAGAAAATTGATATAAACAATAATACATGTAAAAACTAGGCAGTAGAATGTGGTAGTGGATGATGCATAGTAGGCTTTGCAGACAGACAGGACTTACTTAATTAAGAGTTAGAACACTTGCTCTTGCTCTAACTTTGTGTTTTTAGGTAAGTTACTTTATTCTTCCCTACCTTTGTTTTATCATTTTTGGCACAAAATAAGCATTCAATAAATAGAAGCTAACCACAATAATAAAAAATATGTATTGGGTACAGAAGTCATATGCCACAGAGAATGATTTTGGGGAGTTGATTCAAGAAGTCTTGTAGGGGGACATTATGTGTCAAAGGGTTTTGATACAGAAATAAAAATTTGCTAGGTAGTTAATATTTATAAAAGGACTCAAGGCAAAGAAAACATTTTCAAAGGCAGAGGAAGCAGGAGCTCTAAAACCTGGTAACAGTTTAATATTGCTGTTGCATTTATTATTTACTGAAAAGTAATGTGAGATGAGGCTGGAGAAGAGGCAGGGGCCAGTTTCTTAGAAGCCTATGCCCTGACAAGAAGGTTGAACTTAATCTTTTAGGGCAGAGAGTGAAGACATACTTTTTAGAATGTTATTTTATATATATATATATATATATGTGTGTGTGTGTGTGTGTGTGTGTGTGTGTGTGTGTGTGTGTGTATATATATATATATATATATATATATATATATATAGTTTTTTATTGAGACGGAGTCTCGCTTTGTCACCTAAGCTGGATTGCAGTGATGTGATCACAGCTCACTGCAACCTCCACCTCCCAGGTTCAAGCAATTCTCCTGCCTCAGCCTCCCAAGTAGCTGGGACTACAGGCATGTGCCACCACACCCACATAATTATTTGTATTTTTAGTAGAGATGGGGTTTCACTGTGTTAGCCAGGATGGTCTCTATCTCTTGACTTTATGAGCTGCCCACCTCAGCCACCCAAAGTGTTGGGATTATAGGCGTGAGCCACCACTCTCTGCCTACTTATTTTGTGATGAGTTTTTTGTTTCAGCCTTGTTTTATTTTCATTTTATTTATTTTAATTTCATTATTTTATTATTATTATTTGAGATGGAGTTTCACTCTTGTTGCCTCTGTTGGAATGCAATGGCGTGATCTTGGCTCACTGAAACCTCCACCTCCCAGGTTCAAGTAATTCTCCTGCCTCAGCCTCCCAGGTAGCTGGAATTACAGGCGCCTGCCACTTTACTAGCAATTTTTTTTGTATTTTTAGTAGAGATTGGTCTTGAACTCCTAACCTCGTGATCTGCCCACCTTGGCCTTCCAAAGTGCTGGGGTTACAGGCATGAGCCACTGAGCCCACCACTTGTTTTCATTTATTTTATCCAAGGTTTAAAAACTGGATATTTCCCTTAAACTCCATGATTTTTGGCTTCTCTTGAAAATTTGCTGCCATTAATCTGCATTTTCTCATGGCAGCTATTGATTGGAGATAAGTAGTGGCTTCCTCTTCACAGAAGCATGTGCTCTCTTCATGGGCAATGAGAAAACTTGGAGGGTTTTAACTGGGTTGGTTATGTAGTGAGCTATGTCTTAGGAGTCTCCTTGTCTTTTTTGAGGAGGAGGAGGAAGAGGAGGGCAGCGGTTGAGGAGGGGTAGTTGTATATGACACCTTCCAAAACTAGGTTAATGGAAGAAAGATATGTAATTTGATTCATGTTGGTTAGAGAAAGATACTTTTTTATTTAAAGCAAAATAAAGTGAAACATTCCTCTAGAAGAGGGGATAGGAATTTCATATATAGAGTTTGTGACTATTATTGGTTGGAAATTAACTCTTGCAAGACAAGATATCTGAATATTTAAAAAAGATATCTCTAGAGAAAAACAGAAGAATAAAATTAGGCTGCAGTACAAAGAGGACAATCACCCCCAATATTCTTTCTCTCCTCTTCTCAGAACTGGAAATTTCCTGTCTCTCCTTAAACAGCACTGGAAGCAGATGGGACGAGAACAGCTGTGACCAACTCACAACTCTAACCCAGCAACCCTCAGCATACAAGTGGGTGACCGTAAAGTTCTCCAAGACCCCAAAAGAGGCCGAAGGTCTGGTAATTGCTGAGAGAAGTCCACTATCCAAGAAGAGAAGAGGAAAGGAAATTCAAATCTCTGAACACTGGGGATGCAAGAAGAGAGTAGCACAGGGGAGAAAGAAGAAGGAGTCCACTGAGTAACACTGCCATTGGAGAGAAATCCATGTGGATACGTGCTGGGAGTCTAGGAAGTGACGCCTTAGTGATCATTTATAAGAATGAGGGATAGGTAAAGTAAGGGATGCAAAGCCACCTGTAGTCTATTCTCACCTCACTCCACTGCTTTATACAATCTGTGTTTTATCATCTGTAACATTAAGTAAAGACCTGTTTAGGTCTTCTTTGGAATCCCATACATTTGAGTTCATTAGTCAGAAAAAGGTAAAATACCACCACCCCATCCTGGAATGCCAGGCATGTATGCTTTTTTTTTTTAATTAAATTGTACTTTAGGTTCTGGGGTACATGTGCAGATCATGCAGAATCGTTGCATTGGTTCATACATGGCAATGTGGTTTGCTGCCTCCATCCCCCTGTGACCTATTTCTGGCATTTCTCCCCATGTTATCCCTCCCCAAACCCCCACCCCCCCCGCTGTCCTTCCCCTGGCCCCCACAACAGACCCCAGTGTGTGATGCTCCTCTCCCTGTGTCCATGTGTTCTCTTTGTTCAATATCTGCCTATGAGTGAGATCATGTGGTGTTTGCTTTTCTGTTCTTGTGTCAATTTGCTGAGAATGATGGTTTCCAGATTCATCCATGTCCCTACAAAGAACAAAAACTCATTTTTTATGGCTGCATAGTATTCCATGGTGTATATGTGCCACATTTTCATTTTCCAGTCTATCATTGATGGGCATTTGGGTTGGTTCCAGGTCTTTGCTATTGTAAACAGTGCCACAATGAACATACGTGTGCATGCGTCCTTATAATATAATGATTTATAATCCTTTGTGTATATACACAATAATGGGATTGCTAGGTCAAACGAAATTTCTATTTCTAGGTTCTTGAGGAATTGCCACACTGTCTTCCACAATGATTGAACTAGTTTACACTCCCAACAGTGTAAAAGTATTCCTATTTCTACACATCCTCTCTAGCATCTGTTGTCTCCAGATTTTTTAATGATCACCATTCTAACTGGCGTGAGGTGGTATCTCAATGTGGTTTTGATTTGCATTTCTCTAATGACCAGTGAGGATGAGCATTTTTTCATATGTTTGTTCGCCTCATATATGTCTTCTTTTGAAAAGTGTCTGTTCATATCCTTCCACTTTTGGATGGGTTTGTTTGTTCTCTACTTACAAATCTGTACTCTTCTGTAATGAGAGATTGGGCAGCAAAGGGGGCCCTTGTGGACCTCACCCAGCCAGAGAAGGAGGCAGAATGTTCCTTTCATTATATTTTCCCCTCCCCAGAGGAGCACTACATATCATTCCCTCCATGGGCTTAAGAGAAGGTGCCGGGGTTACACAGATTTATAGCTGGGTGTAGAGTACAGGGTGAATTGGGATGTCCATGTACAAGACTAGAGACAGGAAATCAGTTCTAAGATTTTAAAAATAATTAGGAAAAAAGGAGGGTTTGACCCAAAGCTTAGGAGTACGGTAGAGAAAAGATGATGCCATGATAGCCCATGTTTCTGGGGCTTTTCCGTAGTTCTCTTCCTCTGTGTACTATATTGCCCCAATTTCCTGTTTATTCAAAGCCCGTGCTACCCCCACCGTGAAGACTTCCACGAGAAGATTCAGATATTTCTTCTTTTGTGTACACTTTCTACCTTACAAATAAGTTAATTTTAATTCCAGAAGGGTTTTTTTCCCCCAGAGCTCTGTTGGTCTGCTCAGTGGAATGTAAGTTTCTTAAATCTAGGGTACAGTGTCTTTGAGAACTGCAATCACCTACATCAACATGACATAGTTATTAGGACTAAGAGCAGAGACCACCTGTGTTAACATAAGTTAGTATTTTGTTCCAGGAAACATTTGCCCAAGAAAGATAAGACCATAACCAATAAATAGTTTCCACTTTTTGCATCAGATAATTCCTGCAAATCAATTGATCTGATACAAAACTGTGCTTGGCTAGGCAAGTAGCTCACTTGTCAAATAGCAGTTTATTCATTAAAACCCTCATCTTGCTCTGATGACCAATCCTAAGCTATTATGTCCTGACCACTGCTCCATCTCAATCCCTTTTCTACTCTGAAGGGCCCTTTTAAATCACCTGAGTCAGAACTCCAAATCCTATAAATACCTTGTCTTGTACAACATTGCTAAGACTGTCAAGGGGGTGTTTTCTCTTACTACAGTAAGGGAGGCTTTCTGGTGGTGATATTTTGAAGTATTCAACATCTTTTGGTCTAAATCCATCCTGAAATATGTATGAAACTCATGGCAGTGCCTAATAAATATTTGCTGAAAGAAGTATTTAAGAGAGAAAATCAACATGATCTTGTTGATTGGATGTAGGTAGATAGGAAGGTCAAGGATTCTTCAAAAGTATGAATTTGTGATTTCACTTAAGAGGGCAAAAACAGGGCCGGGCGCGGTGGCTCAAGCCTGTAATCCCAGCACTTTGGGAGGCCGAGGCGGGTGGATCACGAGGTCAACAGATCGAGACCATCCTGGTCAACATGGTGAAACCCCGTCTCTACTAAAAATACGAAAAATTAGCTGGGCATGGTGGCGCGTGCCTGTAATCCCAGCTACTCGGGAGGCTGAGGCAGGAGAATTGCCTGAACCCAGGAGGCGGAGGTTGCAGTGAGCCAAGATCGCGCCATTGCACTCCAGCCTGGGTAACGAGCGAAACACTGTCTCAAAAAAAAAAAAAAAAAAAAAAGAGGGCAAAAACAGAAAAGCATATTTTCAGTGAGTGATTTCAACTCTAGGTTTGTCATTTCTGGGATGTGGAAATAGAGATCTCCAATAGAGATGCTGTATGTTCAGTAATGAAAGGTCTGCACGTATAAGATACGCTAGGAAGGTTAGGAACTTGTTTTCTTAATTAGTGGTTCTCAAAGTATGATCTTCGAGTCAGCAGCATCAGTACCACTGAGCACTTTGTGGAAATGCAAATTTTGGGGCCAAGGCCAAACCTACTTAATTGAAAAGTCTAGGATGGGGTTCAACTATCAGTGTCTTAAGAAGTCCTCCAGATGATCTGCTATACCATGAAGTTGAGGACGACTACCTTAAAAATTAATCAGAATGCCTAAGAACTACCAAGTTCTAAGACAAGAGACTCAATGTTATTGAGATTTCTGGTGATAATCCTGCTAAGGTGTGCTAACGTTGCATTCTTTGCATTGCTAGGCCCTCCCTAACAGGGGACCTAAGAGGCTATAAATAAAAGCAAAGAAAGCCTTTACTCTCTGTATTTGAACGGTGGCTATACCACTTTCCACTTACGTGTCTTAGGAAGTAAATTGCTCAACTTCCTAAGCTCAGGGTCCTCATCTGTAAAATGGGAATGCTAATGGTGCCTAGTTCATTGAATTCTTCTGATGATTAAATAAGTTCATATATGTAAAGTGCTTAAAGCTGTAATAAGCGTTCTGCTTTTAAAATTTTTACTAGCTTAGGAATTCACTTGCACCCCCCCACCGGCTTTTTTTTTAACCTGCCTAACTAAATGTTTAGTTTTTTCAAGTTTACCTCAAACCTCTCACCTGTAAAAAGCCTCCACTAGTTAGTCCTAGAGTTAAGTATATTATCTTGCTTGGCTCAAAGGAAGAATTGAATAAACACATTAGTTGACTGAATGAGCACTCGAGTCCTCATTTATTTATTTCTTCTCTGAATTTTATAGTTTTGTTATCAGTACCTCTTATTTTGGCACTAAATTGCACTTTGTTATATTTATGCCTTGCTTCCTAATCATATTATAAGATCTTGGAGAGGAAGTATTGTGCTTCACTTATCTGGTCCACCTAACACAGCACCTGGCAATGCCAACCACACAAAAAGTATTCATTAATGATTTGTGCAAAATGAGAGATGTTTTTTGGTCACAAATTTGTTTACCCTACCAAGTTTTACCATTTATTATTTTCCTCACCTTACAACCATTTCAAAATCTTAAATTTCTACCACTTCCTCCCAAGCATTACAAGATGAAAATAACAGAACGTTTCCTTCATTTCTGATGTCAGCCAGTAAAACGGCACTTATTATGTTGAATCTCCATGTCAGTCTCATAAATTTAGCCTAACATTCCTGAAATTATTCTTTAAGTCAAAGCTAGGGTGTCATATATGATCTGTTACTCTTAAGCCAGAATAATGGCATGCTCTCTCTATCTCTCCAGAACGACACCTTTATGGCTAAGAAACGATGTTGCTTTTCCTCTATGTAGCCCTATTTTATGAGTAGCTTACTTCAATTTTCATTTAACCTATCCAGCAATCTCACTGTTTTGTGTAGCACTGAAGTGAAATTCTGATGGCACAGAGGATTTAAAATGTCCCATCTTATATAGTTATGAAGCTCATTTAAACATATAGACAATTAATGTAATGTATATAATGAAAGGTGAACATTAGAACCAAATAATTCTGATATCAAAATTTTAGCTTTGTTACTAGTTCACTCTGTGACCTTCAGTAAACCAATCATCACATCTTAGCCTCTATTTACTCATCTGTAGACAGGGACATAAATATTCACTTGTGGTGTTATGCATGTAGATTACATAAGACAAGTTATGTATAGTACCCAGGATATAAAAAGTATTCAATAAATGATGAATTATAACAAAAAAAAATGAATAGAGCAAAGTAGTGTAAATCTCAGAAACAAAGGTTATTTTAGAGTCTAGAGACACATTGGCCTTATCAAAACATGATCTCTGGTATTGTGGAATTAGTCCTATTCCAAAATTCTATTTAAATTTTATTCAAGAATGGCCCCATGAAATCTCAAATTATTTTACGTTTGATAATTGATCTTAAAATAAGATCTCTTAATTGATTACTTAACTGAAAGGTCTGTCTTACAGAGTGAGAACCTGACACACTTCTATCCTAAGAGATTGTTCGCAGTTCACGTGTGACTTGGTAGACCAGGAAATCTTGTAACCCCTACACAATGTCTGGCCCCAGCTATTCACTAAGCACATCTCAGTACCTCCTCTGAAAAACCTTGAATGTCTTTTCTCCAGGATCTGTGGAAATAGTTGTTCTCTTCAAAGACTTTGTTTTATTTTTCTCCATAAAACTCTAGAGGGCACAGTGAGAAACTGAAAATCCAATGATATGTATTTTTTCTTTTTATCTGGAAACACACATTCATTTAAGAGGAAAACAGAAAAGTCTTTCTGGGTAGGCAAGATCCACGTGGTCTGGATGGCAGAGATTGTTCTGAAGGGCTGTTTGGAGGTAAGACTATAGTAATATACAAGTGTGTCACATGATTTGTAAGAATATTATTTTATGGGGAAACGCTGGAAATATTCCCATTGAAAACTGGCACAAAACAAGTCCTCTCTCATCGCTCCTATTCAAGATAGTATTGGAAGTTCTGGCCAGGGCAATCAGGTGAGAGAAAGAAATAAAGGGCAACCAAATAGGAAGAGAGGTAGTCCAATTATTCCTGTTTTCAGACAACATGATTCTATATAGCTTTGGCCTGAAAGTTCCTTCTGCTGATAAACAACTTTACCAAAGTTTGAGGATACAAAATCAATGCACAAAAATCACCAGTAGTCCTATGCAACAAAAACAGCCAAGCCGAGAGGCAAATCAGGAATGCAAACCCGTTCATAATTGCTACAAAAAAGAATAAAATACCTAGGAATATAGCTAATCAGGAAGGTGAAAGATGTCTACAATGAGAGTTACAAAACAGTGCTGAAAGAAATTAGAGGTGACACAAACATATAGAAAATATTCCATACTCATGGATAGGAAGAATCAATATCATTAAAATGTCCATACTGCCCAAAGCAATTTACAGATTTGATGCTATTCCCATAAAGCTACCAATGACATTCTACATAGTACTAGATATAACTATTTAAAAATTCATATGAAACTAAAAAAGAGCCTGAATAGCCTAGGCAATCCTAAGAAAAAGAACAAAACTGGAGGCATCATGCTATCTGACTTCAAATTATGCTACAGGGTTACAGTAATTAAAACAGCATGGCACTGGTACAAAAACAGACACAGACCAATGGAACAGAATAGACAGCCTAGAAATAAAGGTGCACACCTAGAGGCAACTGATCTTCAAAGGAGCTGACAAAAACAAGAAACAGGGAAAAGACTCGCTATTCAATAAATAGTGCTGGGATAACTGGCTAGCCATATGCAGAAGATTGAAATTGGACCTTTTCCTTACATCATGTAAAAAATCAAATCAAGATGGGTTAAAGACTTAAACGTAAAACCCAGAACTATGAAAACCCTGGAAGGTAACCTAGGCAATACCATAATTCTGGACATTGGAATGTACAAAGATTTTATGATGAAGACACCAAAAGCAGTTGGAACAAAAGCAAAAATGGACAAATGGAATCTAACTAAATGTAATAACTTTTGCATGGCAAAAGAGTCCATCAACAGAGTAAACACATGACCTACAGAATGGGAAAAAATTTTTTGCAAACTACACAGCTGACAAAGGTCTAATATCCAGTATTTGTAAGGAACTTAAACAAATTTGCAAGAAAAAAACCCACAACCCCGTTAAAAAGTGGGCAAAGGACATGAGTGGACACTTTTCAAAAGAAGACATTCATATGGCCAACAAATATATGGAAAAAACCTCACTATCACTGATCATTAGAAAAATGCAAATCAAAACCACAACGAGATACCATCTCACAGCAGTCAGAATGGCTATTATTAAAAAGTCAAACAATAACAGATGTTGACAAAGTTGTGGAGAAAAGGAAACACTTCTACACTGCTGGTGGGAGTGTAAATTAGTGATCCATTACGGAAAACTGTGGCAATTCATCAGAGAGCTAAGAACGGAACTACTATTTGATCCAGCAATCCCATTACTGGATATATACCTAGAAG